GAAAGTACTAGTTTTTAGCAGCCCAAAGCCTACAGACTCTGTGATTACGGTAGCCAGAGAAAGTGTTTTACACACACTCACACACACACACTAATGCACAGATGCTGAGTTGTGCCTTAATAGTTCAGAGGTCAAAGACTAGACTAGAAGACATGTGGCCTGAGGCATGAGGACTTCTGACCTCATTTTGGAACCACAAAACCAAGACATGAGAGACAACATAATACAAACAGGACACACACAGAGGCATTCTGGGCCCCTTGTTATAGGTTATTATTCTAGGCAGATTACTGGTTACTACTTCACTAGGAGTCACAGTATGTCAAGAACGGAACTCTATAGTTTATTACGTACTGCAGTGCATACTTATTAAAAATAGAATGTAAAACATTAAGAAACATTTCATGGTAAAAGTTTGTGGTTGGTAAGATGTTTTTATCTCTTATACTTACCACAGCTGCATTTATTTGATCAAAAAAGTAACTTTTTCTATTAGAATTACACTTACATTAAATAATATAGCAGACACTTTTATCCAAAGCGACTTACAAATGAGAATTATGAGGATTATATTACAATCATCAATGCATTATTAATTATAATATTTAAAAATGTAATTTATATCTGTGATGCAAAGCTGAATTTTCAGCATTATTACTCCAGTCTTCAGTGTCACATGATCCTTCAGAAATCACTCTAATATGCTGATTTGCTGCTTAGTATTTATTTGAAACCATGAGTTTTTAATAGAGAATTTAAAATAACAGCATTTATTTGAAATATTTTTTGTAACATTAAATGTCTGTAAATGTCTTTACTGTCATCTTAGACAAATTATCATTTAAATTAAATCAATGACTTAATGCATGGTTGCTGAATAAAAATATATATTAAATTTTTTTGTTAAAATATTTATGATCTGGGTGCTATGTCTAGACAAACAATTTGCATACTTCATGACAAATATTTCCAACATGGATGATTCAGAGAATTCATCTGTTAGTGTGTGCGCTATAAGCAGCTGTGCACACTCTTGTAACTGCGCTCCTAACTGTAATTGGGCCGCTGGGCTTTACGAGGCTGCCGTAAATTTGTCGCTCATGCTAAAGACTATTATTAATTTGACTTAAGAACCTTCTGCAAGGACACATTCACTCTCTCTCTGCCACACAGACACACAAACTTACATATTTTTCTAATTGTTTTCCTTCAGGTTCTATCTTAAAAAAGTATTACATTCACTTCGGCTTTTTCCATGCTTTACGTACTATTGTCCTACTTTGCAAGATAAAAATTGAAGGAGTGCTTCCCAAAACAGATATAATAGAAAGTTTGGGGTCAGTAAGATTAATTTTTTTAAAGAAATTAATAGTTTTATTTAGCAAGGACACATTAAATTAATCAAAAGTGACAGTAGAGATTTTTACAATGTTACAAAAAAAATTATATTTGAAATAAATGCTGTTGTTTTGAATGTGCTATTCATCAAATAATCCTAAAAAATTGTACCATGTTTCAAGCAGGACTGTTTTCAGAATCGATAATAATAAGAAAAGTTTCTTTAGCAGCAAATCAACATATTAGAATGATTTCTGAAGGATCATGTGACACTGAAGACTGGAGTAATGATGCTGAAAATTCAGCTTTACCATCACAGGAATAAATTATTTTGATGATGATGATGATGCATTTTATTTATATTGTGCTTTTCTCAAACATACACTAATATAGAAAACTGTTATTTTAAATTATATTAATATTTCACAATATTATTGTTTTTATTGTATTTT